TGTCATGTAAACTGACCCATGACCAAAACCCTCCAAGTTCTGCCAATATAATCTTTTTAGTTTAATCCTTACAGTTCCATTTTGAGATCAGGTGAAAAGAACTCAAGCTGTTATCCCCAGTGTACAAATATGTTGGACTACATTCTTTTCTCACCAAAAGACAGCTGTTTCAGCTGTAAAAAAGAAGCTTTTTTGCTTCAATTGTGGCAAATAAAAATTGATGCATTGAAACTATGACCTATTGCTTTATGGAGAAAGAAGAAAACCACACAAAAATGTAGTATTGGCTGTAGCAGACCATACAAAGATGTAGTACTGGGAAATAAATAAGTACCTCTCATTCAATTTGTCATTTTATTCTGTGTGCTCAAGCTAAGAGTGGATTAAAAACACCCACATAAATCACAATTTTAGTTTTATAATTTTAAATGCGTTAACTGCTGCAAAAAAGTTACTTTAAATGTTAATTTGTCTAACAGGCTGTTATAAAGATTTCATGTCTACCTGTAGCTCCAGCTTACTCTGTTGAAAACAGAGCACTTTTAAAAAGCGTAAAGATCTAAACAGAAAATCACAGAATTAGGTTGGAAAAGATCTTTGAGATCATCAAGTTCAACCCTAAAAATATCAAAGATCAATTATGAAATCAATTTCATGAGTACTAACATTCACCTCTCAAGCAGGAGTGATTTTTAGATTGACGTGAATTAAAGAGCTGACTAGGAATAGTTCCAGACCCTTTATTCCACTGTATGAATATAACATGCATGTACAGTTACCTATAAATTAAATTTATTAATGCTATTTATTCCCTGTAGACAGCCAGTTAGATTTCTGGTACTTAATGATACAGAAAGCTTACTAAAGGAACATTCCTTAAAAGGACATTAAACTTTCCCCCTCTGTGCACTGATTGTTAACAAACATCACTTTCTCTCTCCTCACACCCCCAAGAAAAAAAATGCTATTACAGCAACATTCATGAAAACAAGTGGGATTGACAGTGGGATTGAGTGTGCCCTTAGCAAGTTTGCCGATGACACCAAGCTATGTGGTTCAGTTGATACGCTGGAGGGAAGGAATGACATCCAGAGGGACCTCAACACACTTGTGAGGTGGGCTGATGCCAGCCTTATGAATTTTAACCATGCCAAGTGCAAGGTCCTACACCTGGGTTGGAGCAATCCCAGGCAGAGCTACAGGTTGGGCAGAGAAGATATTCAGAGCAGCCCTGCGAAGGACTTGGGGGTGCTGGTTGATGAGAAAATGAACATGAGCCGGCTTCAGTGTGCGCTTGCAGCCCAGAAAGCCAAACGCATCCTGGGCTGTATCAAAAGGAGTGTGACCAGCAGGTCGAAGGAGGTGATCCTGCCCCTTTATTCTGCTCTCGTGAGACCTCACTTGGAGTATTGTGTGCAGTTCTGGTGTCCTCAACATAAAAAGGACATGGAACTGTTGGAACAAGTCCAGAGGAGGGCCACGAGGATGATCAGGGGACTGGAGCACCTCCCGTATGAAGACAGGCTGAGAAAGTTGGGGCTGTTCAGCCTGGAGAAGAGAAGGCTGCATGGAGACCTCATAGCAGCCTTCCAGTATCTGATGGGGGCCTATAAGCATGCTGGGGATGGACTGTTCATTGGGGACTGTAGTGACAAGACTATGGGTAACGGGTTGGAACTTGAACAGGGAAAGTTTAGATTGGATATAAGGAGGAAATTCTTTCCTGTTAGGGTAGTGAGGCACTGGAATGGGTTGCCCAGGGAGGCTGTGAATGCTCCATCCCTGGCAGTGTTCAAGACCAGGCTGGATGAAGCCTTGGGTGAGATGGTTTAGTGTGAGGTTTCCCTGCCCATGGCAGGGGGGGTTGGAACTTTATGATGTTAAGGTCCCTTCCAATCCTAACTATTCTATGATTCTAAGTCTTTACTGAAACTCTCAGTTAAAAGGGTACAACTGATCTCTAAGGCCACTTTAGGTACTAAAGAAATGGTTGTGGGAAATAATAATATGTATAGATCCATGAATTGCTGAAGAAAGTATTTCACTGTTCCTGCAGAGTAGACAAGTCCAATTTTAGCATGTGGAATTTCCTGATCAGGTGTTGTTATTCTTACAAAACTTAAGAATATGTAATTTTGTTTTGTGAAATATGGGGGTTATATTTTACTCTTACATTTCAGATAAACCTATTCAAAACAAAGAAGTTTAACAACAGCAACAACAAAAATTAAATCAGTACATTATGCAACTGAAATGCTGAGGAGGATCAAATCACTGAAGAGATGTAAGTCACTGGCTAAGAACAGTGAACCAAAATCAGTTTGCTGCAAGTCAGATGCAACATAATCCTGGTACAAAAGGAATTTTTTCTTTAGCTCAACTCAAACACCTAATTCTGTTTAATAATTAACTCGTTCTAGATTAGGAACTGAAAAAAAAAAAAAGAAAAAAAAAAGCAGGAAAGCTTATTATCTTCTTCTCTACAGTGTCTTTGGAGAAGATGACGTCTAGTTGCACCCAAAGTGCTAAGAATGTAGCAAGGAGTTATCAGTTACATTTTCTGAATACCAACAGTACATGCTTTGTGGAATGAGCTGGTTGCCAGTGGAAATTAAAATTGGGTTGATAAGCTTATATTTTTGAATTTATGATCTAAACTACTACAAAATTTTTCTCATTGTTTATGAGCATTTTTAACATTCCAATGTTCATCTAAAAGCACTTGCCCAAAAGTTATTAATAATCTAGTATACAACAGAAGTATTTTTTGTCTTTCTGGTATTCACAGTGGTAAAGAAGATGAAAAATTTGTGTATATAGAGTCCTGTAGAACCATGAGCCTTTGGACAAATAACCTTCAGCAAGCTTCACTGAATGATAATAGATATAATTAGGGGAAAACCCATCAGCAGGGAACTAGCTAGGAAGAAAACCTCCTAAGATGACAAAGTGAAGAATCTACATGTTGAGAAGACTGAAAAGTCAGAAGGTCTCCCATTACATTGAGTTTTGAAAGCTCTAAGGTTTTAGGGAATTTATGAGCCAAATAAGTCTGTGTAGTCAAGGGAGGTGATATCGTTAAGATAGTGTTGGATATAAGTTGGAGTTAAAAGGCCTGGGGAAAGAAATACTAAGCTGGGGAAAAAAACAGCTTCTACTGATTCACATAGTATTCATAGGCAAGAACCAAGAGGTGGGGTTAAACTAGGCTATCCCATAAATTTCAGTTAGTCTGATTTCAAAAACACAGAATGAGACTCCTAAGTGCCCCTTCTGCAAAAAGCAAATAGAAATGCAACCTACCTGAAGGACTACGGTACAACCTAGATAAAGGAACAGTTAGAATACTCTGTAATTGGTTTTCTCCTTGAGCAGGTTCTTGAGAATAGTGAGCCTGCTACAGAAACCAGCCAATGAAAATGAATGTTACAGGAAAACAACTGAAATATGTAAATACAAAAGCATTTTAAAACTGATTAATTAAATTCAAAGCACTTGACCATTAAATAATTATTAACAGTGGTTGTTGATATACAGACAAGTTAACAGAAGTTTGAGGACCTCAAATCATTTGGGACTCCTTAAAGCAAGTACTCCCAAATTCCCAAAAGATCTTTTCTAAACTCAAGAGCTGGGTTTCTTTAGAAAATGAAATATACACTTTAGAAGTGAAAAATACACAAATGAAAAACTTTCATTTTAGTGAAAACACTAAAATGGTGCAAATAAAACTCAGGATGGAACATGATAACAATGCCAGGATCTATTAATATAACTCTCATTCCCACTGTGACCTCACAAGTTGAGTGCTTTCCTTCAGCATCTCTCATTCTAATGCCTAAGTAACTTTTATTTTCAGCAGGGTAACCTCTGAGTTCGTATGAAATATGTTCTTTCCACTATCTCTGAGGAAGGGGTGTTTGTCCCCTACTTTTTGGGAAGTCTTAGTCTCTGTCTCTGATGTTTTCAGGCTGCTAAGCCTCAGGTTTCACTCTCTGTCCTTCTATGCACTGTATAAAATCTCTCCCCCCCCAAACACCATCCTTTCTTAATGATCCCATCTTTCTCAAGTGTAGCCTCTGGGAGAAGGTGAACAAGGAGCTCCCTCTGATATGCAGTCACATGCATTTCAAAGCAACACAGTAAGGTAAAAACAAGAATCCTCCACAATCCTATTGCCTTCAACCCATTAATAACTGAGAGAGACAAAATAATCCATGCTACTGAAGTTTCTGTCTCTGTTTCTCTGTAGTTTTTTGGGCAGAAATTTGCAAGCCCATCCTAGAAATTGCTAATTTCTCACAGAAGAGGAGTTGGGGTTGCTAAAAAAAAAAAATAAATAAAAAATATATAACATTGCTGGGGGGGGAGGGGGGGGGAGGAAGGATGCAAAAGTGCCCACCACATTGGTCTAAACTCCTATGTGCTCCTGTAATAAACTGTATCTCTAGGGGAAAAAAGCTGTCTTTTGAAAGTATAGTATTAAATGTCAAATTAATTACTGACATAACCTGAAATCATTAGGTCTTTCTTTCTAAACTAGCTGCATAGGTGATGTTTGGATTCCTATATGTGGCATTCTCAGATCAAAATGAAACCAGAGAGAAGATATTGTGCTTTATTATTGTGTGCCATTTTTTGAAAGAATGATTCAGGCATTGATATTTAGGCTACTTTCAAGTCAAATATTTAAAGCCCACATCCTAACCATAAACACATTTACTGACATATTGGAAGGTCACTGGAACATGAGAAGATAGAGGTCTGAGCAAAAGACCTGCAAAATAAATATCTTCTGCATTGGAGGAAAGGCAACTATAAGAAAATTGAACTGTTTTCTTGTGTTTTCATCAAAGTACTGAACAGATTCCAAACAGTTTCAGATGTATTAAAAATCAGGCCCATGGCATTTTCCTCTTGTGCATTCATATTTCATTAAATGCAATGACTTTATCTTTTCTCCAGTTAAAAATACCATTCATATTGGCTGCTATACTTACTCTTTCACAGTCACAATATAGCCATATTCTTTCTCTTCAGAAGACTTTACTTCAAGCTGTAAGCCTTGTCCCATACTATTCTGAGGCTTTGCATGGGAGTTTCCATCCTGCATTAAAGAGTCCTTAATCCAGTAGCGGGTTTCATTCGGGTCTTTAAAGTCAGATTCACTGTTCTTTGCAGCTGTCAGTTCCCTTGTGAAAGTCTCACTTTTAACATCTTCCACACCAGCACTTACTTCTTCTGAGGAAGAAGAGCCAGTGTCTTCAGATTTCTTGGTTTCTGTCTTAGTAGATTTTTCAGGTGTAAGATCTTCAGGTATATTTTCAGGTAACGCATTCTCATTCAAGAAGTTAACTACTGTTGAAGTATTCTGTAAATATTATTTAAAAACAGTATTATTATCTTTAAAACTAAGCACAGGAATGGTATACTGAACTAAATCTGGGTACAATCTTTCAAATTCTTATTGATATGGTGGCATCCACTCAATATACATGTCGCATGGTCATTTTTTAAGTTTCTCAAAAATGGCTGAATTTTGGACATAAAACAACAGGATATGGTTCAAAGCTTATGAGGAATATTGCAGAAGTAATCTGGATTAAAATCCCAAATTTGGTGTTACCACCTATGGCATGAGATGTAATGCCTGAAGCTTTAGAAGGACCTCTGCTATTCAACAATTTGGAAGTAAAGTGTGAAAGTGAAGAATGACAGATCCCCTGAAAGGAAAGGAAATCTTGAATACTCCCACAAACATATGCCCTCAGAAGGAGTATGTTTACTTATTTGCTTCTGAAAACTAGACAGATTATCTGAGCAATGGTGCTTACATTCCCCAAAACTAAGAATCAAGGGACAGGCGAAAGAAGGATGTTTTCATGAACACCTCAATAATCAAAATCTACTAACCTAAGGAAAAGCCTGAATTTGTCTGAACTTTGGGATCTCTTTGAATTCTGTCTGTTTACCAGTGAAAGAAAGGCAAAACAGGACTTGACTTTGCTTTTTTGTATTGAAAAAAAAATAAATTGGGTGAGATTTAAATAAATGCTCATTCAGTGCATCAACAACAATATGCCTTCAATACCCAATGCTGAGGTATTGAATTGTATGCACAGAAGACACAAAACAGGTGTTGTATTTCAGAAGTATGTTTTAAAACTTCATATTCATATTTTAAACTGCATATTAGCCTGACATTCTGAGATGGAATAGTTGTTTTGTTAAAATACTGGTACTCTACCTCTTTATCAGTTCTTGCAGTGGCTTCACGCACTCCACTGTCTGTAGGACATGAAAAGCAGAAATACATAGTTATCAAAGGAAAGCGCTATATATGAAGCAAACCCCGCCTATAGACTGCTTTTAGTGGTGGCCTTTTCATGCAGTTTAAACATTAAGACATCAAAGCTGAAAGGGCAGAGTAAAGAGCACTGCATAATTCAGTATTGTTGTTCTAACCCTACTTTGATAGCAAATTAATACAAGATCAATAGACAGAGTACTTCAAGAGCAAATGTAATAGTGTTATTTTGCTAATTAAGTGTTCAGTCTTCATATCAGTTTATCAATATCTAAGAAAAAGAAACAATAACATAGCTGTAGCTATCTGAGTTGACATTTATAGTAAAGAAAAAGGAAACATATACTTTTCTCATACTGTTTTTGGTGGAAGACAACTTACTTTAATATATATCATCTACCAGTATCATGTTGCAGCTTAACTACCATTAGCTGATGATATGAAGTCACATCATTAACTTCAGTTAAATAATGCTGGCTTTGATTTATGAACTGAGTCTTATTCATCTTTTGCAATATGATTCAGGACAAACCCCCAAGTCTGATCATTTTAATCTAAAAAAAGAACTGGCAATTAAAATAACCAGAATATTCCTAACTAGTAAAGATTTCAGTATATCACCAAGAAAAAAGAGAGCAAGTGAAAATCACTGTTTATGACTTATAGCATATGTAGCATTTGGTGTCCTAGATATCATAAGATTCCTAAAATACAGAATGGTTGAGTGGCAATTTATGCCCCACTGTGGTATCAGCTTATTAATGGCAATTACTGTAGCTCCTGAATCTGCATCATCAGGAAATTGTGTGTCGAGACAGAAGCAAATAACCATAATAACTCTTCTATTTCCCTAAGCAGGAAAAGGAATGAGCAGTTTTCTACCTACACCTAAGATTTTGTACTACGAGTAATTGTGGCACACTAAAGAATGACTATCTGTAAAACATCTCCCCACATATTTCAAAACACATTCTTGGAATATAATATTTTTTCATTATAATTTTTCTTTAAAATTTCATTTTAAAGAGAGGGAAATTAAGACCACACAGCATAAAGCAATTTTTATTTCAATATAAGTGGGTGTGTAGGTTTATTTTGTTTGTGAAGCTTGACACCGAAAGGTTCACAAAAGAGAAGCATTGTCATAAATAAAGTATCTGCAGTAAAAAGAAAGCAAAGCTAAAATTCTGCAGCCTTTGGAGGGGAAAACAGACAAACTTCCCTTCCAGTCTTCTCTAAAGCTTATTTTAAAAAGTCTAGCCCAAATATGAAACACTAAAGGAAAATTAGGGTAGCTATCTTTTGCTGTACTTAATTCTTAGAATCAATACCTGGTATATTAACACTGTTTTCCATTAATCGAGTCCGAATCTCTGCCCTTCCTTGAGCATCTCCTGTCCTCATTTGTGCTTCTGTTCTGTTTTCTTTAGTTTTCCCAGCACCCTCTTCAGTTTCTTCCTGAATGTCAACAGTTTGAATTGCATTGGCAATAGTATCAGCAATCTCATCCAGTTCTGTTGAGCTGAGATTCTCCACATTCACTTGGTGTTTCTCTAGGTCCTTCAAGACATCTTTAATAAGTGTCTCTGGATCACAAAAAAACATAAACACAAGATTTAGCTGCATACATGAAGCATACGTGCTTGTATCAGTAAATATCTTTCATTTTTTCTAAAAGATATCTTTTCCTTCAAGAAGAGCGTCTGTTTTCCAAAGGAGTGCATACACATTCATGCTGCCATCTTCACAGAAAACGCGGTGTTATAAATGGGTGCTATAGAGTTTATGAGAAGGTGAATTCATGACAGGCACTGGCAGATGTACGATGCTTCAACCCAGCAAGCTGTCCTAAAGAGAGGGGTACAAAACTCATTTTTTCTTCACAAGAGCAGCATTGTTTCCTAGTCTAAACTGACTCAAAATACTGAAGACAAGTGTTAAGGTAGTTTAACGTTTTTTAGGTACAACAAGAGGGCAAACACTGCTGTTTATTAGACATAGGTTTCTTTCGTGATTTGCTTTTTGCAAGATAATAGCTATATAGAGTTTTGAGGGGAAAAAAAGACTCAGATATTTAATCTTCCAAGAAAAAACTCCTCTTCAATTAGATGTGGATATGGATAAATGTCCATTACATACATGGGTATTTTCTCTTGAAAAATATGTGTTTTGTCAAAAGTGAACTCTACTGTTTCGGTTTGTTAGCTATGAGTGTTTTACCAGTCACACTGAAGAAAGAAATGTTAAGATGATGTTCCAGGACAGAAAAAGCAAATGAACTTATATTTAGTAGGAAAAAAACCCCAAACAAACCAAAAAACAAAAAAACACCAAACCACACAAAAAACCAAAACAAAACAAAGCAACCTTGATGTGAGAGAAGTTTTGAAGACAAGGAAACTCAAAGACAATAGATATTAAAGGTGAGTTAGATGTACATAAGAGCTCTTCAGGAAAGTTACTTTTCTGAACTGCATATATTGGATATATCCTTCAGTACCATTTTGCATAATTCTGCAAAACTCAGCCTAAGGTCCCTTGGAGTATGAGACACTAAGTATAGGGTTTACTCCAGTATACGCAAACCATTTTCAGTCATGCCTCTGTTCTGCTTGTTCATGCTGACAGGAATTTAGCATACATATGCATATGCATGCAAGCAAGAAAACTCTTTCACATAGGTAATATTGTGTAAGAAGAGGAAGATAAGGGCTGCTTTTAAACCTCTGCTGAATGTATTAATTTATATATAAGCAGTTTGAAGACAACATCCAACCTATTTTCTTATAGTATTCTCTTTGTTGATCCTTGTGGTTTGACATGTTCTTCATCATCGGTAAACAAGATTTTGTAACCATGTTGTCAGCTTTCAGGCTTACATAAAAGTGAATTTAAAAGTAGGTGTGCAAAAGAGAAAACATTACCAGAAAAAGGGCCAAAGAGGAAGTTTGTTTTTCACAGGAAAGGAGGAAGAACTAGAGACTAGGAAAGGAGAAGTAGCTAGAGACTTCTGTTTTCTTAACTAGGAAGAAGCAGCAGAACATCTGTGATTTTACAGGGAGACAAGAACACAGGATTATTTGTCACATGGGAAAAAGAGACTAAGACATTGGACATGTCTGGCATTTTTTGGACCCCAGAGTGTTAGCTGCAGAGGTTAGAGCCTGTAGCTGACCATCAGCTTCTCAATGCCATCTCAAAGCAGAGATTAATTTCCCCCAACTAGACCCATAAGCCACCAAATAAACTAATGCTATTTTCCCTAAAATAATTAGCCAATATAAACCAAGATAATATAAGCAGCTTAAATAGTAGGTTTAATTGTATCAGAGTTTTGGCACTTGGGAAGGTGGTTCTTTGATGCGCTTTCCAGGCTAAACAGACACATCTTTCCAATAATATACCATATTGATATTACAAAATTCTACTGATTTCATTATAAAATTGAGCTGAGGTCATATGCTGTGAACTTTCAAAATACTTAAAAAACCATAATTGTAAACACACTTAAGTGCAGCTATCAATAAAAAGATAGGTTAAATCTATAATGCTGCTTTAAACTGTGACAGCCACAAAGAGTATGGTATCATACTGAAATAACAGAATGCTTTGTACAGGAAAGCAAGTATTAAATGATTAGCATAAAAGATTTAATTTTACAATTTATGCCGAACTCTCTGGGCCAAGATATTTGGAGGCAGCAAAATTAGGACTAAAGTTTGAAGGAAATTGAGTAATGCTTCACAGAAAACTGTAAACACTACTTTCCACATTTCATTGTACTATATACATCCCCTGTTATGAATCTAATAATATAGTAAAAACAATAATGACCAAATGTTTTTGTTTGTGAACATAATCTATAAGAGGAAATTGATCCAAACAGCAATAAAAGTTTTCACTAGACTTCATCACACTGAGTTCAATAAATGTTTTTGAGAAGTACAACAGCTACCTGGAAGATGGCCATTTGGAGAAGATGTTACTCAGAGCATCAATGTGGTAAATTAAGCAGTTGGAAATGCCAGCATTGCCAGATTACCACAGATGCCTTGCATCTGCTTGCCTATCTTATCTGTTCTTATGTTTTATAGGACTATCAGACAATAACCTGACAGAAAATCCTAAATTATTGGATCAGAGCTAATAAAATCAGCAGAGTATGTCAGCTCCAAATCAAAATCAGAACTTTTCAACTAAGGCATCAATATTTGAAGAGACATCTTTAAAGATAATTATATTTCAGGACATACATAATTCAAAGAGCTATTAATGTAGCACTACTGGGTTTTGTTTATTTTGGTTATTTCATAGCCAGCTGCCAAGACCAACCACTGAGCTACTCAACAATATGCATATAAGATACCTATTATCTTAGGCACAACTTATCTTTCTAGTCCACTTACACAGGTTCACAGTCAATAACAAAGCAGTCTCAATCTCAGACAAAATGGAAAGGGTGAGCAGGGCATGGAATCACATGAGAAAATGAATAGCCACAGGCCATCCACTCTATAACAAACCTATAGAGGAGCCTTCTGCTCCTCTGATGCAGCTATTCCTGCCCTTGTTAATGTCACCTGTGCAAAGTTCATTAAACAATCATCTAAACACTCATGTCAGTGTTAGTAAAACTTAGGCATTACTTTACTGGCTAAGACTGAAGTGGCTCAGATGAATTTAGACTGCCAATGTAAGGGTGAATTATTTTTAGCCCAGTGGGCCCATGACACCTCAAGCCATCAAAGGCAGAGATGAAACATACAGATGGGCTTGTGATCAAGGGGTGGACTTAACAATGGACACTATCACCCAGGTTGTTCATGAATGTGAAAAAGTGGTTAAAGACTTTGTGGTATGGAGGATGATGGCTAAAGTACAAATATGGGGAGACCTGGCAGACTGATTATATCACATTCCCACCAACCTGGCAAGGCAAGTGCCATGTGCTTACCACAGTAGAAGCAACCACTGGATGGCTGGAAACATACGCTGTGCCTCACGCCTCTGCCCGGAACACTATCCTGGGCCTTGATAAACAGATTTTGTGGCTACACGGCACCCCCAAGAGAACTGAGTCAGACAGTGGGACTCATTTCTGGAACAGCCTTATAGACATTTGGGCCAAGGAGCATGGCATTGAGTGGGTATATCACATCCCCTACCATGCAGCAGCCTCTGGGAAAATCAAATGGTACAATGGGCTGTTAAAAACCACACTGAAAGCAATGGGTGGTGGGATTTTCAAACATTGGGATACACATTTAGCAAAGGCCACCTGGTTGGTCAACACTAGGGGATCTGCCAAAAGGGCTGGCCCAGCCCAACCAGAACCTCTATGTACTGTGGAGGCGGATAAGGTTCCTATTGTGCACATAAAGAATTGCTTCATCAGGGACTGTAGTGACAGGACACAGGGAAATGGGGTTAAACCTAAACAGGAGAAGTTCAGGTTAGATGTAAGGAAGAAGTTCTTTACTGTAGGGTGGTGAGGCGCTGGAACAGGTTGCCCAAAGGAGTGGCGAATGTTCCAGCCCTGGCAGTATTCAAGGCCAGGTTGGACAGAGCCTCGGGAAACATAGTCTAGGGTCAGGCATCCCCATCCACGGCAGGAAGGTTGGAACTAGATGATCTTAAGGACCTTTCCAACCCTAACCATCTATGAGGAACATCATGCTTTCAGTACACTAGGAGGAACTGTTAGCAAAACGTTTGTAACAGCCTTGTGAAATGGAGGCCTACATAAAGAGTCTTGCTAACTTCCTGAGGTTACTGAATAATGTTAATACGTGTCCACATTAAATAGGGATGTTTCCACTTCTTGTTATGGCATTTGTCCATGTTTCTGTACCATTTGCATATTATTGGATAAGGCTGATATCAGTACAAATATCAGTGCAATATTTACAAAACCACCTTTGGGTAATTTAAGGAAATCACAATGAATTTATTAAAATCAGAAAATATTGTTGGAGAAAGACCAAACAGCAGTTGGATACTGTAATGGCACATGACTTCAGCAGCACATGTACTTGCACTTTATACTTCCCCACTGAACCCTTCTAAATAGAATCGGCAATGCTCAGCCATGTTTCAAAGGGCTTGTACTGCAAATCAGACTTCTCCCTTAGCTCCAGCTTCCAAACTGAAGAAGGCAAGTTGCTTTTCACAGTTGGCTTGGAACCAGGACGACAGTAAAGGCAAGTATATCTTAGATGACGTATTTTTCAATACCAACTTCACCAGTAGAATTCCCTAGTAGCAGCATAGATAGGGAAAACAGCTTTTTATTGTATAGGATATAAATGGAGTTCCATACTCCATTGACACAACTGCCAGCGCCAGCTTGCCTGACAGCCATATTGTATGGCAGCAGTAGCTTTGTTAGCAGTTCCACAGGGTGGTATGTCTTCTTATACCATATCACCCTATTGACCATGTATTAGCTGTACTCCACAGCTGAGCACCATACAGACTGATGACCACAGCTTTACAAGATAGTGCATGCAGAAAAATATCTTTACACTATAAACATGGAAGTTTGGTATTTTGGGGGAAAAAAAAGAAAACAACAAACAACCTGATTTACTATTGACCATATATTAGCTGTACTCCATAGCTGAGCCCCATACAGATCGATGACCACAGCTTGGCAAGACAGTGGATGTAGAAAAATATCTTTGCACTATAAACATAGAAGTTTGTTATTTTTTGGAAAAAAGAAATCAACAAACAGCCTGAATTACTAATTTTGTGACCTTTCCAAAGTAACGGAGAAATGTATTCTGCAATATTTAATATACCAACAATGAGTAGACTGGAACAAATCACTTAAAACTGAGCCAAATTCTAAATACAGCTGGCGCAGAAGACAGATTAACGCTTCCAGTGTTGCAAAGTGACTACAAAGGCAGTACCCACACACATCATGCTACTCTTAGAGGTAATGGTTTCTAAATCTGATAGAAAAATAGCTTCACATTTCCTTCTCTTCTGTTTCTCCCTTAGGGTGCCTTGTTAGCTAATTTACCTGCCACTGGTTTGCAGCAATTCTCAGTGCTAATCTCCTTAGTACCTTCTGGATTGTTCTCCCAGTCATGTTCCTGTGTCTGCAGAGAGCTGTGCTTGTGTGACTGCACCCCATGCTTTCCATATTTTCAACATTTCTGTGGTTTAGAGAGTGCATGAGAGAAACAATCCACAAGCATATAAAAATCCTGAAGCACCAGAGAGACTGAAGAGAGATTAAAAGCAGAAAGGGGTGGCACACTCAGCCTGGCAAATCCAGACCATCATTTCAATGGATAGAATTTGGAACAACAAATATGCTGGGATCTGTCCTCACTACTTCCTTATGAGACTACTAAGTAGCTCAAAACCAGACAGGAAAACATATTATTTGCTACTCAAAGAATTCATAATTTTATGTCTATGCAACATTTAAAAGCTAATGCAATGGAAGAAGTTCCTACAGGGCACATTATGTATGTTGAAGTCAAAGTGGCACAACCAATGAATTGTGAAACATGTTATTCCCTCTAAGTGTTAAGCATTTTTTTCACCGGTTAGCTCCTACCAGGAAAGGTGAAGTGGAACAGCTGGAGGATAATGAAACCAGCATGTGCCTAGTTTGTTTTGAGTCTAGCAACAAAACTGTCTAACCTGTACAAGAGACTCACAGTGCCACCTGGATCTGATTTTACATTATAGCTTGTACCTTGAAACCTATTATCTCTGGGCACCATACCAAGAATGCTTTCACTTCTGTGCATCTTTTAGACTGCAAGCATTATCTTTCCTCTGCTGAAACTTTGACATTTCTGTGTGTTCTGGGATATTTTTTTAACAGAAAAAAATACCCAAAATACAACAAAACAACCCAAACAAAAAAACCCACAAACAAACAAAAAAACCCCAACAAAACAGCAAAACAAACAAAAACATTAAATTTTATGGATGGTATTAAGTAGAGAAGGGACTCAAAGAAACCCTTTTACATATCACCAAAATCCATTGAGATAGAGGTGACTACACTGTAACAGATGTAACTGCTTGGCAACGGCTGAGGATGCATTCTTTCATTTTCAGGCATTCTGAACTACTGGAATAATGTCAATAGTTAGATTAGTTTAAAGAAACAAAGTGGAAAAGAGTTATTTTCTAAACTCAGTGTGATCCCCATCCATAATGTGAAGACCCATCTTGTCTTACAAAGCAGCACTCAGACTGTATAACAGCATCCCATGAGATGTAACACTTAAGTATTTGTCAGACTATCACATATAAAAGACATCAGGATGTGGTCACTGTTAAACAGCATTAGAAAAAAAACAACACAAAAAAAAGAAAGATAAAAATCCAGCAGATGCACTGTCTGCTATAGAACATTCAGCCAAAACTAGATGCAACCCCACCTTCTTTTATTATTCTGTATCCACCTATCCGCATAACTCACAAACTCCTCCCACCTGTGTTCTGCACCAGAATTTATCTCAATGTTAATTTCTATGTCTAATTTTGAATTTTACACATGGTCCTTGGATTTCTAGTTAAATACAGAGAAACTGAAAAAAAAAAAACCCAGGCATTTCTACATTACCTATATATAGTGTGGGATGCCTGCATAAAAACAGATTTGATAGCAAATATATACCCATAATCATGTGTTGTTGGTAGAATGTTTGAAAATATAACAAGTTACATAAATGTTATGTCTTACTGAGTACCATATATTTCTGTATGCATATGGAAGGTAGGTTGAAGAATGTGGGTAGATGTTTGCAGGGAAAGAGTAGTTAGACTGGTGAACATTATTACTGTATTATGCTAGATACAAATATCCCAATAGTAGGAGATCTATTAGAATGTCTTATTTTACTTTTTTTTTTCCCCTCAAAAATTCTTAGTAAATATAAGGGAAACTTCAGATAAGTTAAAAAAATAAAATATCAACTTTACCATCCACTACACTCAAAGGGTCCTTTGGGTTGTCCATGGAAGCAGATTTATGATTCAGCTTCTCAGGGGTTGGCCCCAGCACTCCAGATGCAGGTCTTGGTTGGATCAGTTTCTTCATTTTAAGATCCTCTGCTTTTCCTTTGGCAAAAGTTCCATCAAAAGGATTGACTTGTGAAGAGTAGAATTTATCAGCATAAATCTGAGAGCCTTTAGTCCTGCTGTGAGAGCTTTTATCATTGCTTTGTGCTGACAGGTTCTGAGTGATGTATGTGTGCAGCGCAGCCATCAGAGTTTTTTGGTCAAGCTCCATTTCTGACTCTGGCGAGAACTTGTCTGGATGATGTGAGCTGGAGGCCCTCCCATGGAGATTGTCAGCGTGCTGTTGATGGGTTGTTGATGCATGGGACAAAGGAGTTGCTCTTTCTTTGGGTTTTTGCATCATGTAGTACCTGATAGGATCATTATAGATGTAGCTCTAGAGAGAGGATAAGGTGAAAAAAAGGACTGGGTCATTATGGCTTTGTAATGATTATTGTTATGCAGGAATAAGGGACATAACCGTTAGCGTTTTACCAACCAGGAAAACAATAACTAGAATCCATAATGTGTATCTAGATCACAAACTGCAAAATTTGCTTCAAAGTGACATCATTTTGTGCAAATTTTGTAAAACTGCTTATTAAATTATTAAAAACCAAGAGAAAGAGATTAGAAAGGGAATTATACAATTCAAACTTGATGTTAACTATATCTGCACTATTTCTATTCATTTAGTAATGCCACTTTCCCTTTGATTTTACCAGACTATTTTTTTCAGGGTACTTATCAAACCCTAAGAATTCAAATTCACAATGTAATTTTTATTTATTTTATTTATCAACAATAATTTTGCTCTCCATATGAACACATTTATGTATTCTGATAAGAAGCAGTTGATTTTATAACGGGTATCTCTAACTCTTGCTTTCCAAGAGGGTTATTCTCCCCCGATAAATGACTGAAGAGGTCCATTCCATGATTTGTAAATTTATGGCTTATGCAACTTTATGTAAATAAAACCAAAACAAAATAAAGAAAAAAACCCAACCAAACAAAAAAAACCTCAGTTGTGATCCACCAACACAAAACTCTTGACTTGTGCAGGTGGTCTTTAACATAGAAACATGTTTTGTTAATGCCAAGAAATTGGGCTAGAGTAAGACAGTGTCACAGAATACAGAGCTAAAGATCAAGCATCTTTGCGTATGAAATATTTTAATATCCCCTGGGAACTGTATCAAACAACAGCAATGTAGCTCCGGTTCAGTGCTCCAGCTGCAGGGTATGCACTGCTCTGATCAACACCTAGAGGGAAGCCACTTGTCAAAATATAAGTTGAAAGCTGTTTACATACTTAATAGCAAATCCTAGATGTAAAAAAACTACTAGTCTTATGTATTTCTGTCTGAATTTCAATGGCTCTTTCTATGGGGTAATTAAGTCTCTAATGATACAGCCTAGAAGAAACAGCAGAGCATGGCATGAAGCAGTCCCAGATACACCAAGCAGTTTACAGAGAATTCACATAAACTGCCATCTGCCTTTCTTACCCTCATACTCTCTAACCTGCCACCTTTTGGAGGACATTCTGGGCACAAGAATGGTCGACAAGGAACTTTTTGTAAGAGCAAGTAGTGATAGGTCAAGGGGGAATAGCTTTAAACTGGAAGAGGGTAGGTACAGATTAGCTATTAGGAAAAAATCCTTTACTCTGAGGGTGGTGCAATGCTAGAACAGGTTGCCCAGAGAAACTGTGGCTGCCCCATCCCTGTAAGCGTTCGACAGGTTGGATGGGGCTTTGAGCAAGCTGGTCTAGTGGGAGGTGTCCCTGCTCATGGCAGGGGGGTTTGGAACTAGGTGATCTTTACCTATCTTTATTTCAAGAAGCTCAACATGACCTGCGAGTGTGTGCTTGCAGCTCAGAAAGCCAGCCATACACTGGGTTGGGTCAAAAGGAGCATGTCCAACAGACTGAGGAAGGTGATTCTCCCCCTCTGCTCCCCTCTCATGAGACTCTACCTATAGTAGTGCGTTCAGATCTAGGGCTGTCAGCACAAGAGGGACGTGGACCTGCTTGGGGAATTCCAAAGGAGGGCCACAAAGATGATCCAAGAGCTGGAGCACCTTTCCTATGAAGACATGCTGAGAGAGTTGGGGTTGTTCAGCCCGGAGAAGAGAAGGCTCAGGGGATACATTATACCAGTCTGCCAGCACCTGAAGGTGGCCTACAAGAAGCTGGAAAGGGTCTTCTTTACAAAGGTATGTAGTGATAGAAGGGCTAATGGCTTTAAACTGACAGAGTTTAAATTTACATGAAGTATTAGGAAGAAATGCTTTACTATGAGGGTAGTGAGACACTGGAAGAGGTTGCCCAAAGAAACTGTGGATGCCCCATTCCTGGAAGTGATCAAGGCCAGACTGGATGGGGCTTTGAGTGAGCTGGTCTAGTAGAACGTGTCCAGGAGCTCTGGAACTAGGTGATCTTTCAGGTCCCTTCCAACCCAAACCATCCTATAATTCTATGACTAAGAAAGGAAGAACAGGGTGCTGGGAAAGGAAGAAACATGACAGAGAAGATGACATTCCCCATTCAGCCTTGGAAAGACATTAAGTCAGCTCAGTCCATCTTGTGTAACTGTACTCTAATTTGGATCTCTGTCCTATATGTCCTCTTTTGCCTCTAAGGCTTTACTAACAAATCAAGTCTTAGGGTGAGCAAAACTGCTCAAGACTGACACAACTCCTGAAAGATTAGGGTCAGGAGGTGCGTCTGGCTTTTGATTAGCTATTTAACAAGTCCAAATATCCTTTAACATTAACAAATCTGTGATTTCCTGCTCTTGCAGACAACAAGCATATCAAGAAATAAAACAAGAAAAATCTCCAAAAGATTGTGCTCAAATTGGATATGAGTAAGCACCAGTCCTGGGCTCAGAGCTGCACCTCTATCAGGGAGGGGCAGCCTCTCAGCAGCTTGACAGGTCACACTTTCGGTAAGTAAAGGATGAAATATTAGAAGTTCTAATTAAAGTACAGCACTGACAGCTCAGCGGTCTTCACTGTGCACTCCCATACCAGTCCATCTCATGTAGCTTAGTCCAACTTAATTAACAGGGCGTCACAGCTGTATGGCAATCCTCAACTTGGAGGCAAAAAAACCCTTTCCTTACTGGCTATATCTCAAACAAAACAGCACCAAAAGTATATGTGCCAACTGAAATATATAAGGTGAAATCCAAGTAAAATTGTAGCACAGATAAATGCAGCCCTAGACTATGGGTTTGTCTAAGTGGCATGGGAAAAAAATCTTTTTTCAGAAGAAGATAGGAGAAAAATGTATGTAGTTTAGAATCAATGACAATTTACATCTAAGTTATTAGTAACAATTGCAGAGCACTGTGATAATCTTATTTGAAGTGTTTTTGCAATCTAACCTCCTGAATATGGAAATTTCTAGTTTGATGTACTTCAAAGTTAAAAGGCATAATCCATGGTCAGTGAAAAGAAGACTGTGAAATCCCATGTTGGTTCACTTAGACAGGCTGCTAACATTATAGAGAAGCAGAGAGAAACAGGGAGCAAGAAAATTTTAAAAAGGAAATCAGTTTCAGCATTGATTAAAGTGTGTTTATATAAAATTCTGACAGTAATAGCCAAAAAAAAAGAAAAAAGACAAACAATAAATGAAATGTGCAGAACTAAGAAAGTATAATCCAGTTACCACACAGATGGTTTATACTGAATAAGGTTAGAAGAGATGTCCCTATTACCATCAGGAACAAATTATTTTAATAGGTCAGATACTGTTCAATTATCTCATGTCACTTACAGAACATCTTTAAGAAGTACTCTGAATTGCTAAAAAAACTCAGTTAAAAGAAAAAAATATCTTATTCTCCATCTGCACAGGATTTTCCTCTCCATCACCACCTTTCAAATAACCTATCTCAATAATTCACACATTATCAAAAAAAACCATTCACTAACCTTTATGAAGATAGAATTGTTAGGGCAACATCTTGTATGTTTTAGGTATGTAAGTGACTGACATTTTCTGCATTAAAGTTCACAGAAGGGCATATTAAATTACATCATGCAGAAGAACTGTGCAATAGTCTATGGACCACACATTTTCTTAAAAAAAAAGAAAATAAAACCAAAACAAACAAACAAAAAAAAAAAAAAACCCAAGGATTAGATACATACAACCCAAGGTACAGATAAATGCTGTTCAATATATTCACTAAGGAGTAGATTGATTTGAATACTTAGCCCAAGTGCAGAAAGAATGAAATTAGGTTATGAAAAAATACCTCCTTTCTTGAGGATACATTATTTCAATCTTGAAGGCATACAGAGATAACAAAAAATACCTTAGGAATGCATAAAGAAGGAATCTTCCTCAATTTAATTTGCCTTTTTTTCTGTTTGATGCATTTTCAGGTATTAATTTGTCTGCTATCACCTGTGCTTGGTTAGACCACGGTTACACCACAGTACTTAATTTACTATGCATATTTGAGATAGTGGCAACATGCTACAACCACAACAAACATTGGAACCAGGCCCTCCCTCACCAGTGGTGGGATGAAAAAAGTTTCCAAATGTTACCAAAAATGAAATGATCTCATACTTTAACTCACTGTGTGGAGTGAAAGAAGTCTAGCTTCTACCAGAAGCATTCTGGATACTTTGCGACCCACACATGCTTGCCTCATGCAAACTCACTACATAGAAAATACACATACTCACATGTGAACCCTTAACTAAACAAGAGCACAGGTGACACTGCCTGACTGCTAGATCAAAGTGTGGGCTGTAAATTGGTCACCTCAATTTACCTTTACTTTGAGAGAAATCCAGCCAACATTGAAATTCAAGGGCCTAAGGGGTGTCACAGAGTAAATTACAGTGCAAAAATCCCTGGGATGGAGCTGAGGAGCAGTACATCTGTGTCCTTAGAGCATCACAGCTGAAGTAGCCATTCCCATGCTAACAAAGCTTCTTTCAGCTGCTGTTCCCATACAGCACTGCACTGCCAGGAAGATATCTTAGCAGGCTTCCAGCTATGTTCAAGGTAGCTGAAATGGGGGGGGAACGTGGCTTTACAGGCCTCTGTGTAACATAATGTTTCACGTTCTGCATCAAATTCAGGGTTAGGTTCATCTGAAAACAATAGGTAAAGCCAATGAAAGAATTAAATTTTCTTAGCAACAGTGAGCAAAAGCCTTTTCTATCAGCTGATAATGACATTTTCACTTACTACAGAAAATGGTAGTATACCATGCAAGAAATCACTACATAAAAAAACCCAAGAACTTGTAAGACTAATTCAGAATCCAGAAAATGGTAAAAAGACCAAACCACTGCCTCCTGCAGTGACGGGATAGCATAATACTATGGTCTTTCCACAGATTTATGGGCTTAAGGCAACAG